ATGGGGATTTCACGGGCTCAGATACTAGCGACGACCAATCTGAGTCGGATTCTGACTCTGACATAGAAGTCGTTGCACCAGTGACGAATGTGGAGGTCAGATAGCATTCTGACATGCTCCAAATGGTACTTACCGTCATATTTTAGATGGCAGATCTTCTTTCTGGGTCGAGCAAAACTGTCGGCGCATCTTCGAGTGGCCGGAAGAAGCGAAAAGCAAGCGACCGCGCCGAGAAGCCTCCAGCAAAGAAACGGCACACATCTGAGACGGCTACACTGTCAGCGCCAGACGGCGGGCCGCTTCCTGCACCAAAGGCCACAGAAACGAAGACAACGAAGGCAGTAAGTGGCTCTGTGACGGCCTTGGTCACTCGCTCATGCTAAGTTTCAGTCACGCGAAAGAACTGCAGTCGCGTTCTTGTTCTTCGAACGTGTGGAACTCAACGCTAAGGGGCAAGCCGGACTGGATGGTGACCGGCACTTCCGCTGCTTACATGGTGATCACAAGGTTATCACGATTACCAAGAAGATGAAGTCCAGCACCAACGGTATGTGCTCTCATTGCCGCTCTTATCTACCATGTTCATATATGATAGGCCTCGTCGGGTATCTCAAGTCCCATGCTCCTCCCATGTACCGTCTTCAACAAATTCTGGCGGAACGCGCCCGGGAAGACCCCACAGTAACCGGCCGCAGTAACGAGCCAACCACGGAGGAGATTGAGATCGCGCAGGGCCGGCGCACGTTCGATGAGGTGTCGGAAGAGAGCTATCTTGCACGACTCCGACAAGGACAGCCGACACTTTCGGAAACGATCTCTCGACAAAAGGCGCGGGCATGGGATCAGAGGGAGTTCGAGCGACTTCTGGCAGAATGGGTAGCGGAATGTGACCAGCCGTTTGACGAGGTTGATAAACCGGCGTTCAGACGTCTCTTGTATTATGTACATCGTTCAGACAGCCTGAACATCCCCGGAAGATGGTCGGTACGCAATCAGATAATGAAGATGCAGGAGGAGATGGAGGCGGGGCTCAAGACGATGTTCAAGGTATGTGGTCTGTCCATTTATGGAATCGCCTCACGGTCAATACAGGGCTTGAAGTCAACAGTTTCAATCTCACTGGATGCGTGGTCCTCGAGCAACGGATATGCATTCATCGCGATCATTGCTCATTATACAACAAACGATGGGAATCTTGGTATGAAATAATTTCCATTCCCCCTTCAGCGCTGACAATGACGCCACAGAGGAAACATTGATTGACTTCTGCGAACTCCTTGGAGCCCACTCGGGAGATAATATTGCAGAAGTTGTGTGGGCAACACTGGAGCTGTATGGCCTTACGAACCGTGTGCGTGCGCTATCATTATATTTTCCAGAATATCTGAATTCCTTCTTTTAGATCTCGGCTTTTGTAATGGACAACGCAACGAACAATGACACGATGGTGGCCGCAATCGAGGAGAAGTGCATAGCTGCTGGCATCACTTTTTCCGAGAGCGAAGCAAGGCTCCGATGCATGCCTCATACTATCCATTTGGCGGCACTGAAGGTGAGATCAATTGCGCCTGCTTCGGCACTTCAAAAATTGATGTATCGTTAGCTCCTCGAAAGTATTGGCGCAGTTGAGAAGCCTCCGAAAAAGGCAAATGAAGACACTGATTCCTCATCGCCAAACTCCTGTTCGTATCAAGAGCATGTTTCCGAAGTCAAAGCGCAAGCGCCCAGTGACGACACCGACAACGACGACCCTTTTGCAGCGGAGCACGAGAAGGGGGATGACTTAGATGCAGCCCAGCGTGACGACGATGACTGGGATGAGGAAACCGAGGGCGCTGGCGAGACTGGCCAAGATTTGGCACCAAATGCGACACAAGCAACCGGCAATCTTTTACCGCCTACACCTTCGAATAAGGCGCTCCTTGGGGCCGTAAAAAAGGTGAGCACTAAACGTTGTTTGCGAGTCATTCACTTGAACTTTGCTAGCTTCGTCGAATTGTCCGTGCGGTTAGATCAAGCCCGCAGCGCCGTAAATCATGGCAGCGCGAGGTCCGAAACTCCATCGATGAAGGCACTACCACAGAAACCGATGTGTTGATGCTAATTTTGGATGTTCGGACGCGATGGTCATCAACGCAGCAAATGCTGAGTGCGTTCAACTCGTCAATTACTACAAATCCTCATCTTGATTATGTTACCAGGTCGAGCGTTGAAATTTCGGAGCGCTGTCGACAGCTTCGTTGACCGGACCCGAGAGCTACACCAGTTTGCATTGGACGATAGCGACTGGTCAGCAATTTCGCTCGTTTCGGAGTGGCTAGAGATGTTTCGTGATGCGACCGTTCAAATGTCGAAGACAAAGTATCCCATGCTGTCGACTACACATGCCGTCTTCCGAGGGCTTCAACTCCACATTCGCGACTGCCTGAGGGCCCTTCCCGATGATGTCTCACCACAGATCAAGCAGGGATTGGTCGACGCGCACACCAAACTTAGCGATTATTTCACCAAATTCGATATTTCCCCAATCTATACATGGGCTGCATGTGAGTAACATATTTGCATTGCTGTGAAATGCTCACGGAGAACTCATCACGCCGACAGTGCTTGATCCACGGATATCATACGAAGGAATTCAAGAAGACTACAGTGACGACACTCTCCTCCTCGCCTACCTTGAAACGGCCAAGGAACGGTTAGCAGACCGCTACGAGAAGCGATATGCGAAAAGCCATGATACACCCGCCAGTGTACCCTCACCGGCTCCCCAAGATACCTCAAACAGCAAGCCAATCCGCAGCTTTACAGCGCGACTTGAGAAACGCGATCAGGCAGTTGTCAATGAGTTGGAGTACTACTTCACGCTTCCGCGCGAAGACTTCAAAAAAATGTGACCCGATAGAGTGGTGGTATGCGCGTCGCCGTCAATTCCCTTGTTTGCATCGGATGGCCCTCGATATTCTCTCTATCCCTGGTGCGCTACTTATTTCAAGTCTGCCAACACATCAATAATTGCTGATCATCGTGAAAGGTTCGGCCGTTGCAGTTGAGCGCATTTTCTCTGGGGGCCGAGACACGATCAGTCTCTGACGTTCCAGTCTACAGCCTCAAACGATTCGCGGCCTGATGTTAGTAAAAAACCAGCTCCGTCAACGGCATCGGGAGATAAAGCAAAAATTAAATGAATAGACTCGGATACATTAGTAGCATCGAAATAGTTTAGTTTTTTTTGCATATGCCATGCCGTCTCCGTAAACCGTAATACGGCCTGACGGCGCCGTACCGTACCGTAAGGGCATTAAAATCGCGGGCTTACGGTACGGCATGGGGCCGTCCCGGCGCCGTCAGAGGCCGTACCGTACACGGCCGTAGCCGTATACGGTACGGTCTACAGCCCTAGCAGAATGAGGAACGGGCGCTAAAGACAACGTGGGCGCTAAAAGACGAGCGTTGGGGGCCTGGTGAAGAGAGGCGGGTGCTGCTGCCGGTGCTCGTGAGTCGTGTAGGAGGCGGTGCCGGCGCAGCAGAACAGGAGGGCGGCCAGCGCTATGGAGGCGGCCAGCGCTATAGAGGAAGAAGTGTTTTTTGTGATTAGTAATAGATTGTGTGACGAAGGGTGACGACCCGATTGACCCAACGATATTTGTGACATGTGTGACCAGGCATCGAAAATTAAGCCCTGGGTTATTCCCCAGGTTATTCCCCAGGTTATCATATGATGGGATCAAAATCTGCTCGGCGGGCGCGGCTCAGAAATGATGGCCTGGGTGCCCTGTGAGCTATTCAATGCATTAAATACTGGAGGGCAGCCTGGGTGGGAGGTGAGCCATATCTTATGCATTACATTCTGTGGACCCCACCCATATTCTATGCATAGATATAGGTATAGGAGCTGAGAATGGGGGAACGTCGAGGAGGACGGCGGTATGCGGGCCCGTTCGGGCCCGTACGGCCTTATGGCCCGGACGGCCCGACCCGAACCGTGACACAGGCTGGGGCTACGCCCCAGCTTCAAATGTTGTTTCACAATTTTTGGCAGACTAAACATGCCAATTTTATTCATGAGTTTATGAAATATCAAAGTCTGCATGCCCTTTATACTGATATTACAGCCAAGAACAACATCATGAATAGCCTTAGATTGGTTACATTCACATGACATCTGCTTAATATAAGAGTAATTAATTCTCAAGAGATTATATTTCAGGCATTTCCCCCTGAGCTTACTTCCCGGCATTTTTACTAGCTATTCCCAGTGCACCCAGTGGATGTTCTTTGGAATGCTTCTGCAGACTGAAGTTCATTACTCCAAACGCTCCAAAATAAAAATAAAAATAAAAAAAATTATATTTCAAAATAGCTACATTACTAAGATTAGGCAATAATAGTATTATCTAGGCATTTAAATATGCTGAAAATGAAAACTGCGATATACAAGGTGTTAACACAACAACTCGAGTGTCATACTAACTATAATGAGGTATTGACTGCTTTGATCCACAACAAGGGTTACATTACTGATGACTAATTTCCACCTGCTAGAGTCTTCTTAGTATTGTACAGGGTCTAATGAGCAAGATACTGCTTAGAGTCACTATGAGTCTTAGGGTTTTACCATGTTATTAAGCCCCAACCCCAGCAAAGATGCTCAAAGTGAGTATCTCACAGGATTAATCTTTGAATCATTTATTTTCATTTGTTTATTGTTTGGCAATCAGTCCAACAAAATGATTATTTAAATGTTTATTATCATTTACAAATGATTTCAAACTACTCTAAAATGATTGGAGTCCTAAATTGATCTGAGCTAAAAGACCGTATCCGCAAGTCAACCCCTTCTCGGACATGAAATCATTTTGGTTTCCTGTTGCTACAGCCTAAAATGGGGGGTTGTCCCGCCCCTTGTGCGCTACCTTATTGCCAGTCTCCGTGCAATGATATTCCAGCCTTATTTTTCAACACATTCCAAGTCATCCTACTGTGGCATCCTTCCACTATTATCAAGCCCGGTGGAATGCTGTACACTCAAACATTAGCTGTCCCCTCTGTGTCCCCGCTTCAATTGTCCCCGCCAAATCATCGCTCAGCACGCGCTCCGTCCCGGGGACCCACATCAACGCCAGCCTGAACCTCTCCGCAGACCCCAGTCTATCTCGTCGGATCAAAAAACTACGCAACACGTCGTCGCTAAATGCCCCACACGTCCAGAGCTGCAGCTCCTTCAGCTTCGGCAACAGCATTGTGTCGCCCGGGGCATCAACCCAATCGACAAGAAGTGCAGAAAAGAAGCTGTCGGTGATGAGTGGGGCAATCGGCAGTTCCTTGTCACCAATTGCAAGCGATTCGAGGGCCAAAAGACAGCCGAGGAGCTGGAGTAAATGGGCCTGCTTGATGTCGATGTCGACGATGTAGAGCTCGCGTAGGCCAATGCTCGCAGGGTAGAGCATCTGGAGGGCGGCATTGACTGGCCAGCTTAGCGAGTAAACGTCGTCGCTGGCATGAACGAGGAGGCTCGTCAGTTGTGGCATTGCCAGTGCGCTGAAGAAAAGGTCCAGCAGGGGAGCGATTGCCCCAGTATGGGAGAGAGACAGTTCCAGTGTCGAAATCTGCGACTCGTTCCGCCCTTTGTCCAGTAGCTTTCCGTGAAGCCGGTTGAGATCCGCTTGCGATGCAATGAGCATGAGGTCCAGAAATAGCGTGCTGCCCATCGGCAGCCTGTACATGAACTGCAGCAGGGAGGGAATGTCGTAGACGCCCAAAGGACCGAGCTTGACTCTCCGGAGGTGGAGCAGGGATAGTTTGGCGATGGGCCTAAGCGGGCCGGCATATTCGAGCTGCGTGAGCTTCTCCGCTGAGGCGAGGACGGCAACGAGGTGGTTTGGCGAAGGATCGACGAGAGAAAGACTGATGGGAAGCATCGGGTTATACACCGTCGGAACCCGCAGCTCCTTCAACCTTGGAAGCTGTCCCTTCAGCGGGCCAAAGTCGACCTGCATACTGGGTGGCACGTCAAGCGTGACGCTCTCCCAGCGACGGGACTCCGCAAAGATAAGCCGCAGAGGGGACTGCGGAAACTCCCCCATGGAGCGGACTGCCAACGTGAGGGGCAAGCTCTGACTACGCTGGAGAGCACGCTTGAGCAGCCACATCAACGTTTTGTGCTGGTCTGCTTCGCGCTTGATGCGGCCATTGAGGTTGAAGACGGGTCGGATGGGAAGTTGGAGGTACGCGTCCGCATGAAAGCCGTGTAGGTCGAGCGTTAGCTCGTTCCAGAGCGACGGCGTGCCCGCGATGATGATGCGGAAGCGGGAGCAGACTTGCTCAAGGGTGGCAAGGTCGCCGCCCGCGAGGGAATGGAGCGCAAGTTGGCGGGCGAAGGAGGGGTCGAGAGTCCCTAGTGAGGTATTGCGCACGTAGTTGTCGACGTCGGGCCTGAAGGCGAGGCAAAGGTGGAAAATTTGGGAGAGAGTTTCGGTGGGCAGATCGGTGAAGGCAGGCATGATGGTCGTGGAAAGCAAGGTTGGTCGTCAAAGCGCCGTAATCCAGGCGTTATATATACTAGCACTGCCAGTGCGCTTTGAATGTGGGACAGGCGTCCGTGACTCACGTGTCACAAACGAACAGGTGGCAATCTGGATGGACGATCGAAGAAAAGGATAAAGCAGATAGATATGACACACTGGCTGTACATGTAGGAATATTGAGCACGGGCCGGCGGTCTCCGGCTTGAAATTTCCTCCCGCATAGCCTGAGTACTAGTACTAGCATGTTCGTTCCGTGTCTTCAAGTTCCGCGACAAGGCATACGCCATTGTTCATGCTTGGACCAGCAGCTTGGTAACTGGTTCATGCGATAAGTTTGAAAGGGCACCAGAAATTGGAAGACGCGTTAACATACTAAGTATGCGGAAGGGAAGCGTTGAGGATTTCAATACTTCAAAGAGCTCGTACTCACCGTACTCACACCAGAGGCGCACAATCCTTCCTCCCAGCCGCGGGTTGCCGCAGTACCATTCGACGCAATTTTCCAGCAGGTGAGCCCGCAAAGTAGCTGGGAATGAGGCCATCCACGCACCAAGCGCACATGCCGGCTCGCTTGGATGCTCTCCGCGTATCGGGCTGGATGCGCGCGCTGCAGTGGGCGTCATCGTGGGGGCGCTGAGCAAGCGTGTGAGCGCTGATCGGCTTTCGGCTCCGTGTGACGTCGTGACGGATGCGTATCACGCCTTCTTCTGCCCCACGACGACGGGCGAGAGCGCTGTTTATGCGCGTCGTTTGCCGGCTTCGATATTCTGCGGTGCGTGTTGGTATGCACGTGTGGGCTGCTTACTTCGTGCGACAGAGGCTCTTACCGGCTCTACCCCCGGCATCAAAATTTGAATGCGTGGCGCAGATGTTGTGGATGCGTGTTTTCTGCCTGTGGCGGTCTCAACTCACTGGTGCGCCCTCCTTCTCTACTACTCCAGGTTACCGCTCACTATGTGTTTCGAAGTGTGCATTATGATGGAGTCCGAAGTTGCGCCACGAAGGACCATTTGATATGGTGCTAGTGCGTGAACGCCTAATGTTAGCCCTGGATCTAGCTGCCTCGTGGCAGCTCTCCGAGAACGACGGCACTTGAAGCTTCAGACTGCGCTCTCGCTTGCCTGCGTTTTCGAAGTAGAAGACGACCACTTACATGCCAGTGAACGGCGTTATGAAGTCCATTATGGCGGTTCTAGCTTCGTGAGTGGGCTGGTGCTCTCTTTCTTTCACTCCACCAACATCCCGCCAGACGACGCCGCCATGCTCACTTCAGACGCCTCCGACCAAGAGGAAATGAGCGAAAATGACCTGCGACAACTCCTCAGTGAAGGCCTCGAGGATGAAGCGCTGCTTACCCACGAAATCGAGTCCACGCTGGCCTTGCTGCACGACCTGCACGACCTATTGGGGCAGAAGAAACAGGAGAACACCGCTATTGCAGCCGCCCTCGCCGCCCTCCGCTCTCCCATCCAACGGCTCCCGGGGGAACTTCTGGAGGCGATATTCGAGCTGTGCGTTGTCGCGGACTCCACGGCGCTTACATACTTCACGAGTGACTCGAGGGTGGCGCCGCTTGTCCTTACGCACGTCTGCGCCGCATGGCGTCAGTTAACCTTCGGCTCGCTACGGCTCTGGAAGCATTGGTACTTCCGCGCAACACACACCCGATCCGATTTGGAACTGCTCACTCGGGTGATACCGTCTGGCCATCTTCAGTTGCACACGACGATCGTCCACACAGTCCAAGGGCCGAACTCCCGTGTCTCGCGCCGCAGACATAAGGGCATACCTGTGTTCGTCATTCAGGCTCTCCTAAGCATCCCGCAATTTGTTGCTGGGGTCCCCACTCTGGTCCTTGCCAAGGGCGCACTTTCGCCAACCGAGGAATTGGCCCGCCCGCCCCAGACGTTCAAAGAGCTCCGCGCGCTGACGATCGATCTCCACCGCTCTCCGCCCTTCCACCCGGACGCTGGTCAGACCCTCGACGCTTTTGCGGATGCTCCGCGGCTGACGAATCTCGACCTTACGCTCTCGCTTGGGGAAGCCCCTCCTGGCTCACTATTTGCGCCACATTTCCCCTGGGCCCAAATTCGCTCGCTGCGGCTGGCATTCCCAGGCAACGCGCTACCAATGGACTGGCGCGACCGTGGCGCGCTCCGCTCCATCCTCCACATCCTCTCCCGTTGCACCAATGTGAAGGAACTGACACTCTACGGCCTCTCCCCTCCGCTATTCATGGCGATGGTGGATCAACCGCCGCTCTGTGTCTTACCACTACTCACAAAGCTCGTCCTTCTCTTCACCGAAACGCTGGTGGTTCAGTTTCTCGTCCTGCCAAGACTACAGGAGCTCGTGCTGTCCTCGCCCAAGTCGCGCGGAGACCTCTTCCCTCTTGAGCGATTCCGCAGAAACTCCGAGGCCAGTCTGACGACGCTGCGGACGCTCGAAGTCCGCGGCCTCACGAGCCTCGGTTTGCATGTGCTCCGCACCACATTCATGAGCCCCGCAAGCCCGATCACCACCCTTCGCCTGCCTGACATTCAGGACACAAACGCGATCAACGCCCTAGTATCGTGGCAGGATGCGGACAGACCACTGCTCCTACCTGCGTTGACTTTCATTTTCATCGGAGCGCATAACGCCAGCGTCGTTCAAGATGGCGGGATCTCGATCCTCAAGATGATCCGCTCCCGGCTGGGTCCTCAGACGGGAGATACCAGCGGCAAAATAGCTGCCAGCGCCAGTGCTACTCTCTTGCGTGCAGAAGTGGCCCTCCCCGAGTCGGTGTGGCCCCGCACGGTGGAGGTTTGGGATGCAAAATGGGAACTAATCGCGTGCGGGGTGCTCCATCTTTCGGGTTCAATGTCGTAACTCCCACTTAGCTCATTTGCTTTATTGTAGTCAAGATAAATGGCTTTCAATTCCGCTTGGTTTGATTAAGTACTCTGGCACCAAATTTTCACTGACCAATCACTTGGTAAGTAAAGCCATGGAGACTTTGGAAGTTTGAACTTTGCGCCCTGGGCGCGACCGGTGGGATCATGATGGCTCTTCCTGGGCCAGGTTTTGCCGCCGTTGCACACCGAGAAAGAAGCCATGCGTTCGGGCAGACACCGCTGGTTGTTACCATGTCAGCGGGACAGCCTTGAATGATGTGACGCGTGTGACCCGCTTGCCAAAAACGTCGACGGAGAAGATACGTGGCTCTGCGCGCGGGGCATATCGGACGTTTCGCTACGACGGAACTGGTCACAGGCTATCCACACTGCATCCCACACCCGCAAATAAAGCTTCTCCGTCATTCGTCCTGGCAGTTGAGCTCTCCTCTCACGAGTATATACGAGTTTGGTGGGAGTGGGACTCGCGCCAGTCCCACTCCCAGTGCTGTTTGACAGCGGTTAAGCCGATTTGGTGGGACTTGTCCCATCAGAGTGGGACTCGATGCACATCATCTTTCTGATGTGTCGTGCGTGGATCATTGGGTTGCGGCGCCGGCCGCGACGGCCGGGGTTTTCCACCCCGGACCCCGACCAGGGCGTTGCCCTGGACCCACCCTGCCGGGGGCATCCGCTCGCCGCAGGGCCCGCTGCGCGGAGCATCGTCCGTCTTCCCTTCAATTTTTTCCGCCTTTTTGCATGACTCACTGTCTTTTAACTCTAGGTTGCGGCGCCGGCCGCGGCGGCCGGGGTTTTCCACCCCGGACCCCGACCAGGGCTTCGCCCCGGACCCCACGCTGCCGCGGGCTGCCGCTCGCCGCGGAGGCTCGCTGCGCGACGCCGGCTAAGTCTCTCTCCTGAGCTGGCATCAGCCGGCCTTGGAGACGATCACAGCAACCAGCCATGAATCCCACTTTGATAGCTGGAGTCCCACAGATTGGAAGGGAGTGGGACTGGCACGAGTCCCACTCCCACCATTCTCGTGTACCCTCTCCTCTCACCCTTCCCGGGCCAGCCCTCTCCTCATCTTAGTACCATGATCCCATGCACCCTGACAGGCCTCGACCCCGAATATGCGGGTCCTTACCTGTTAACGTACGTGGACGACGGAGACGACGAGTGGGCCTTTCCAGTTGCTCGAGAGATGGCATTGGAAATGCCAGATTTTGTGGACCTGCCAACATCGGAGACCACAGCCATCATCCAAGACGCGCTTCTCGCCAGCTTGGCCGCAGACGAAGGGGAACTCCCCACATGGATTCTAGACTACACAGGACGTTTCTCGCCCGAGTATAATGGGAAGGCAGACAACTTCTTTGGCACCGGGCTCCTGATTGAAAAGCATAGAGTGTCTCGCGTGCACCAGCATGGGTTTTGTTATAACGGCCCGAATAGGGCCGGCAGCTGGACCTCCGCCACGGTTTTGACCGACTCCCCTGGTGACTCGGAGGATGACTGGCGGTTCTTCTGCTGGGAACGACCATATCTTTATTACCGCCACTGGATTCAACTTAGCTTTAGATTGCCACGCAACGCCAATGTCGACGATGCCGCGTTTGCGACCCAATTATTTGATATTGTCAATAGCAACCACACAGACTGCTGTCACAGTGAGTAATTTCGCGCTCCTATTTGATCTTCATTACTCACTGCAACTTAGGCCATGCAGCTGATGCTCAAAGCAGGTATCAACTCAACGGACTTCTTCCATGTATAAGCTACGGCGGCATTGAAAAGCTGCAGTCCACAAATGAAGAAATTACCTTCATGCTCATCCGTGATAGCGTCAAGAGCACTGCCGCTGCCATCGTTGCAGGTGCAAGAGGCCGTGATCTGTGGGAGCCAATGGCGCTTGACTTCGGCGTCTGGATGACATGTCGGCCAGATAACTGGCCCGTATTCCAAGACCTTGTCGATGTCCCAACTACTGTCTTCCTGCCTGGAGGGCAGGAATCCACGATCCACACCCTCCCAGACGAGATACTCCTGGAGATTCTCGTCCACCTCCCGCTCCGTGATCTATTGGGCTTGCTTGTCTTGTCGCACGGTGTTGCACACACAATATCTCCGCTTCTCAACGAGATCTTGTGGTTTCATGTCCATCACGGCGTCTTGCACTGGCTTCTCCCTGTTGTTGCCGTCGATGGCGAAGTTCGGCGTTTGGGGCATTCGTTGAAGGGCGCTCCCACCACTTTTGAATCTATGAGCTTCCCATTCACAACATACCTACCTGCTTGTTTTTTATCGATTTCCATGCGAAATCGCGAGCGCTTTTGGAATATTTCACAGCAATTTGGAGCACATTTAGAAAGCAGCAGCTGAAATTAGTAGAAAGCAGTGTTACCAAATGATATGTTGTTTCTGTTCGGATCAAATGTCTGCAAATTGCCACTAGTAGTTCCATCAGCATTCCCGGAGCGGCATCTACACACTGGCCATTATCAATCACAACAAGCTAACGGGCATCACACCCCTCCGCTTACAGATGTGCACCCACAGTCTCCAGAGTAGCACTTAAGTATCGGAAGGTGTGTATGGATACTTTCAGGCTGGTTCCACTCCATTTTCTCTTCTCTCTCTTGCAAACTTCGGCCACTTCTCTTCTTCTTTTCATCTTCTTAGTAATCAGAATCACAATGAGACTCTCTATCATTGCACTCTGTCTTTTTCTTGCTCTAGAAGTTCCGGCAGTGCCGGTTCTGGGGGTTCATAAAACTTTGTCTATTGGCAATAAGGTGTGTTGGGTTGAGGTCGACCTTTCAATGATATCTTAACAATATGTGATCTGGCAGATTGTTGGCTCTCATTCCCAAGCAAATAGTCCTATTGCAGTCAAAAAAGCAGGTGTAGTAGTATCCAGGCCCAAGACTGGTTCCAAAGTGGGGTCAAACAAAGTAAGACAGTTGATATTCATACTAATAATTACTCAACCCTACTTCTCAGAGTACAAAGTCTACCAGTGTGGGCATTGGAATCAATAGCCATAGAAAAAGCGCAGTAAGTACATTTATATGCAGCTGTTCAATGTTTAGACTGGTGCAGGTTAAAGCCAGTCCTATCCAGTCAGTTCCTATTAGGACAGTGTCCCAGGTCAAATCAAATGCACCAGCTCAAACCACTAATGGAGTAAAGCAAGGCAAGCCAATAACATATATCACAGAGGTCAGATACTAAATTAAATGCCAGCATCATGTAAAAAAGATCAACCTCCACAGCTCTCAGGAGCAAGTTCAGGGACCTCAGATATATGCAAACAACAGATCTTACAGACTCAAATTCTTGGGTTCCCACGCTTCTCACTTCGCACCCAAGGAGGCTCTCTTCTATGTGGTGCAAAGGCCCATTTCTATGACTATATAGATGATCATACTACAGTGATATTGACTGTGAGTATCATATTTCAAGATATTCAATTCAGTTTTAATTTTGATCAGGAGATCAAGTTTGATAGGAAAAAGCTTGTAAAATTTACTGCACCTCCTAACACAACTTGTGGTATGAGCTGACCAGTTGATTTTTTTTCATATATTCAACTGATTAACTTTTTTGTTTCAGATCACATCCTTGAATTGAATGTACTTCAAGATGTGTTAGAGGCCCCTGGGGGTGTTTGTGATGCAATAGGCCAACAACTACAGGCTTCTGTGCAAGCAGACCCTGATCTACAAGTGCTAACACAGTCTCAGATTGATGCACTCAGTTTGTCAGGGGAACCCCCGCTTCGGCCTCCTTCGGACCCTCCGAACGCATCCGAGGCGCATCCGACCGGCGCCCCCTCGGACGCTCCGACCCACCCCGACCATCGTCCACGGCCTCCTTCGCCCGCACAATCACCGATCCGTCAAGACCCTCCCAACGATCACCTTGGGACAGAGCCTGCGACGCCGCTCAGGCCTTCTGCGCTCTACGTCGGCAGTTACGGACGACCAGTATATAGTTGGCGCCCTAGCAGGCGGACCCTTAGAGTTTCTTCTCTTTGGATCCTCCCCTGCTAGGTCGGTCCCTCCGTGTATTTCCCGTAGCTTTTATTCACCCTTTGGATCCTCCCCTGCTAGGCTTTCGTCGGGAGTCTCCAGGGTTGCCCTTACAGCAGAAGAAACTCTCTACGGGATTAACCGGTCAAGATTGCCAGGTTTGGTGCTGACTCAGGCTCGGAGTACGAGTCCGTACCCCCCTCGTCACCGCCCCTGCCACTTGACCCCTCCTCCTCTGCTCTTGTCGTCTTTACGCCCGCTATGTCTACCGGAGCTGCTCCGGACGCTGACGCGCGCATGGACGCACTTGAGGCGAAACTAGACAACCTCACCAATCTCCTCACCCACCTTGCTTCCCAGGCTTCCGCTGCCGCACCACCTCCGGCAGCTCCCGAACCGCCCGGCATCTCCGAATGCCCCGACGGGATGCGTTATTTGGTGACATTACTGTCGCCTAAAACTGGTCTTACGACCAAACCCCCCCGTTTGCGTTTAACGGAGATCGCAAACGCGGCCGCGCCTTCCTATACGCGGTCAAAACCTACGCCGGCTTGCCCCGGAGGCCTTCGTAGTTAACGGAGAGCCGAGCGAAGAAAAGGCCGTCCGCTACGCCATGTCCTATATGGCGGAGGGACCTGCTCAGCAATGGGCAGAGCGTCATGGGAGCAAAAACCCCTTCCCCTTCCCTCGGTGGAGCCAGTTCCTCTCCGAGTTTCGCCTTCGGTTCGTCGAGGAGAACGAACAGGACCTCGCGCTCGCTAAGTTGGAAAGCGGGGTTATCACATGGGAACGCGGGATGTCTACGGATATACCGACGACTTCGAGGACTTGATGGACCTCGCTGGCTTCAAGACGCGTTGGTTAAGGTAACCAAGTACCGCCACGGACTTGACCCCTTGATCAACAACGGCATCACCTCTTCGAACGACCCCCCAGACCTCCGTGACTATCTAGGCTGGCG